GGGGGGGTGTTCATCTCCAGCAAGAGGAAGATGGGGATAGCTTGGGCTAGGAAGGACAGGGCTGTCTCAGAAGCCTTGCCTTGAGCTGGGGGGGGGGGGGGCAGCAGCAAGAATTGGAGGTTCCAGAGGGAAGGTCTCACCACAAGCAGCAGCCAGAAAATGGCAAGGGAGTGGGGGGGGCCTTCACCTCAAGTAGAAGGCGGAAGGTAGCAACAGGGGGTGGGCGGGCAGCCTGAGCCAGACGCCAGGCACTCTGGGCCTCATCCAGCGTCACCTCCAGTAGGTCGCCCTCCACCAGCAACTCGTCCAGCGCCCGGAATGGCCCCTCACCCAGCTCCAGCACAGGTCCCTGCAGCCGTGGCAGCGCCAAGCACAGCACCTCCAGGTCTGTGTGGAACAAGGGGGTGTCAGCAGGGGGCATCCACCACCCCCCGACTGGGTCAGCTCCTGCGCCCTTACCTGTGGCATAAGGGCCATTCTTCTCAGGTGCTGCAGCATCTCCATTCTCCACTGAGACCTGGGGGAGGCAAGTCAAGAGCCCTGCTGGACACAGGTGTATAGCCACATCTGGGAGAAGGAGTTATACTGGATGCCCTGGCCTGATGCCACTGCCCTGGGAAAGGGGCTGGTTATAAAGGGTCCCCACACTCTATCATCCCGCCCCTCCTGATGCGCCCAGCTTGGGGAAATCGCTGCCTGCACACCATCTCCTGGTCTGAGGCTGAGATGCACTTAGCTCTGGGCCAGGGCTAGCTGTCCAGGCCCCACCCTATGCACCCAGCTCTAGGGTAGAACTGGCTGTCCAGGCCTGCCTTCCTCCCCATGCACCCAGTTGCAGGGCAGCACCAACTGTCTACCTCCCTCTTTTCCCCTCCAACAACGCATCCAGCTCTTGGGAAGGGCTGGCTGTCTAGTCCCCTACCACAATGCACCAAGCCCTTGGGTGGAGCTGGCAGTCCAAGGCCCCCCTGATGTGGCCGGCTCTGGTGAGTGCTGGCTAGACAGGATCTGGTCCAGTACCCTAATGTGCCCAGCTCTGGGGTACTGTATGCTGTCTGCCACCACCCCCACAACCCCGAGGTACCCACTCACCTTGTGCTGCTCATTGCAGCTGGCTTCACGCAGGGCACCAGCATCACCAGTCAGGCGCTGCCGCAGGGCTGCCAGCTGTTCCAGGGGCCCGGCCAGCTCAGGTGAGGCCAGGAGGTGGCGTGCCCGGTGCTGCCAAGTGATGGCACGCTCTGTGAGGCACTGCAGGGCCTCACCCTCAGGCAATCGCACAGGCAGTTTCTGCAGTGCCACCAGCAGGGCCAAGATGGTTTCGAGGCGTGGGCGTCGCGAGCGCTGGCACAGTGGGCACAGCACCTTGGCATCCCACTCCCACCAAGCAGGTGAGGGGCGCTGGGCTCCCAGGCGGGGCCAGGCCACGCAACCAGCGTGGAACCAGTCCTGGCACAACTGGCATTGCAGCATGCTGGGGCCCGGGGGCTGCCCACACACACAGGCTGGGGCACCAGGGGCTGGTGGGTGCTGGGTGTTAGTATGCCGGCGCCGCAGCATGCCCTCTTTCTCCTTCTGCTCGCCCTCCTTGAACGCCAGGATCTGGGGAGATGAGGAAGCATCAGGCCCAGGGCCTCCCCAGGGGGTGAAAAGCCTGTCCCACCTCCCTCCACAAGTATTGTCATGAAGAACACAAGGCAGGGCTTGCTCAAAGCCAAGATGCAGCCAGCTCTGGGGTGGAAGAGCTGAGTGCAACCCCCACTTTGCCTACTGGGCTCAGATCAGATCCCATGCCACCTGGGGCAGGACCAGAGCCTCTGCTCACCACAGCACCAGGATCACGCAGGTCCTGGGCTGACAATCCCAGGCTTTCTGTGTCCAACTTGTAAAGCCCGGGCTCCTGCTCCCGACGGCGCCTGGCACCATCTGATCCAGCATCTGCACATGGGCACAGCACCTGCAGGCATGGGGGCAGGGGGTTGGCATTGGCCCCTACAGGACCTGCAAGCCCCCACCCAACGCCCACTCTGCAATCCTCTCCTGCTAGTAACCACCCCAAAATCCCAGCTCCTGCTGGGACCCTGGTCCCTTCTCCCCTGCTCCCCAGAGGGTCCTCATGTCCCCTGTGCCCACCTTCAAGTTTAGTGCCTGCCGCCGCCCCATTCAGCCCTTGGAGCCCGACCCCTCCCCGTGCCCTGCCCCTGCGCCCCACCTCAAGCAGGGAGTAAGCAGAGTTGCGCTTGAGGAAGGTGCGGGCAGCCCGGTCGCGCCAGGAGTGGGCAGCGCCCACCTGCACCTCAAGGTGCCGCAGCTCATCCAGCCGCACTGGCAGGGCCAGCCCCACGGCCACCAGTCCCTCCAGGTCATCCAAGCACGGGTAGTGGTCCCCATTCTGAGGTGGTGGTGGTGGGGAATTAAAAATAAATAAATAAATAAATAAATAAATAAATAAAAATAACAATAATTAAAAAAAAAAACAAAACAGACACCGCCTCCTGTCTGGCCTGGCCCTGCCAAATCTGTCCTTAGGACTCCCCCAGCTTCATGTGCCAGGGACCCCCTCCACTCCACCCAGTCCAGTCCCTCAAGCCCACGTGCCCTACAACCAAACCCAGTCCCCCCTATACCAGAGCCACCTCCATACCTACAGCCCTCTGCCGCCACACTCCAGACACCCCAGAGCCAGACTAGCCCCTCATGCTGGGGTCCCTACCCCCACACCCCAGCTGCACCTGGATCTCTTCCACATCAGCAATCCAGGCTCGGGCCTTGGCCAGAGCTTCCTTGAGGGCCTGAATGTTGGGCAGCTGCACAGGCACGTTCTCAGCCTCTGTGATGATAGCTTCCAGCATGGCTGGGGGGTGCTTCTGTCTGTGGATGTAGCCCATGCTCAGTGCCCATTGCCCAGGGCCACCCCCACCCTTTTGCTGTGACCCACCAGGCCCTGGCTCTCCTCCTAGAATCTGGCCTAAGATCCAGGTGTTCAGGCTCCCAGCACCCCTGTTTTAATCTGTAGCCCCACCTGCTTGCCTCATAAAGCTAGGGATGAACCCAAGTGTCCTGGCTCACAGCCCCACCTGCTAACACTCTGCTCCCTTCATGGAGCTGGGATAGAACCCACTCAGCCAGGCCCCTCCCACCTGCCCAGGAAAAGAACCCAGGCATCCGGGTGGGTTCAACTGGCCCAAAAGTACATCCAGGTCTTCTCTTCCCAAAACTAAGATAGAACTCAGGTGTCTAGACCCCCTTCACTTAATAATGGGAAAGAGAACCCAGGCATCAGCTCGCCCAACCTTGAAGCACATCTGAGGTCTCCCCAATGCCAAGACAAACCCAGGCATCCGGACCCTCCACCCCCAGGGGGGAAGAACCCTGGCATCCAGCCTCACCTGGCTTCGAGGCACATCTGGGCCTTCTCTTCCCAGCGCTGGGCAATAGCAAGCAGCTCATGGAGCTCAGCCATGGCCTTGTCCACTGCAGGGCTGGGGGCCACAGAGGTGCCAGCAGCCACGAGCCCGCGCAGCTCAGGCAGTGGTATGTGCCCACGGGGCCCCCTCACTGCCCGCTTCACCTCTTCCAGCCAGGCTGCCTGCGCTGCCTGCTGCTCCAGCTGCTGCCCCTCAGGCACTGCCACACCCAGGCGGGCACCACGCTCCAGCAGCCCCCGCAGCTGCACCACCCCTGCCGGCAATGCCCCCAGTGCTGCCCGTGCCTCCACCTGCCACGCCTCTACCTCAGCCAGCAGTGCCTGTGGGGGTGGGGAAACAAACAGGCATCAGATCCATAAACACATCTACCCACCCCCTAGCATTGCCACAGGTGCCCCGGCCATCCTTCCCACCCTGAGGTGCCCCAAGCTCCCCCCACTCAGTCTGGACACCTCCACCCACCCCCAACAAGGTACCCCCAGCCCCCCTACCTACCTCAGGGTGTCCCAAGCCCTCTTAAAACAACCCCAGGGCCTCCCCCAACACTCAGACTGGGCACCCACCCCCAGGCACCACTGAGATACTATCCATGCCGCAGAGACATGCCCCCCCCTCCACCTGTCCCTCCCCACCATGGGCATGTAAAACACCCCCTAATCTGTCCCCCCAGCCCAGAGAGTAAGTGTCACAAACCTACCCCCTTCCTCACCCCTGGGTATTCCTAGAGCACTCCTAGAGCTATCCATTCCACCAGGTGTCAGACCCCCACACCCACCAAAGAGCCATTCCTGGGGTGACCCCCCGTGAGCCCCCCTAGCTGGCACCATGGTGCCCCCTTGGGTGTCTCGGATGCCCAGCCCTCTCCCCCAAATTCTAGGCCCCCCAGATGACACTGCCCCCACCCCCCTCACCTGGACCTCTCCTATCTGGTGCATGACGCAGGGCAGCTGGCTCATCTGCTCCAGGAAGGCACGCAGCTCCTCCACTGTCAGCGGGGACGTAGGCACCCTGTATAGGCCATGACCCCACATCAGGCCATGCTCCCAGGGGTGGGGCACCACACCAGGGTCTGATGAGGACAGCTGAATGGATCCAGGGAACGGTGGGGGAGAGGAGGGGCACTAGAGCTGATGGGCACGGTGAAAGAGATACTGGGCCCTGGGGGGTGGGGGCACTGGGATGAGGCCCCTCGCTCACCCAGTCTCCTGGCTGCTGATGAGCCCCAGGGCCTCAGAGACACAGCGCTCGGCTTGGCTCAGCACCACCTTGAGCCGGTGCAGCAGCTCGTTCTCGGGGAAGCGCCGCTCTCGTGCCTCCGACTCCAGTGCCCGCAGCTCCTCCAGTGCTGCAAAACACACGCTCAGCGCCACAGGCCTGAGTACCCCACCAACCCCTACATCCCCCCACCTCCCACTGCCAACCCTAACAACACTCCCAATGCCACCCCCTACACCCCCACACTTCCCAGAGCCAACCCTCTACACACCCTAGTACAACCTCTGGACACTAACTCCTCCCAGTCCCAGCTACCTGCAGCCCCCCTCAAATACCCTTCAGTGCAAACCCCAACATCCTCCCAGTGCCAACCTCCTTAGAGCCACCCCTCGCACCCCCAAAGGCCAATCCTGCCAACAGTGCCCAGCACCAGCCCTTACTTCTCAGTGCCTACCCTGTATACCCGTCACCCCAGCACTCCCAGTACCAACCTTCCAGCATCAGCCCCTTGCACCCTCCAGTACCAACTCCCCTAGTTCCAGCCCCCTAAACCCCATGTCCCCTAGTCCAACCCATCCAAACCCAGCTTCTTGCACCCCCCAGTCTTCAGTGTTAACCCCCACAAAATCACCCCCCCTGCTGCCACCCCAACACCCCTTTTGCAAACCACCATCACACTGTATGCCCCCCATCCTCCCCTGCCTCCAAACTCAGGGTGCCAACCCACCCCCAACAGCCCTCCTCCCTGCCCATGTGTTGAGACTGGAGGGGACCCAGGTGTCTGGGACTCACTGCGCTTGCGCCCATCCTCCACCTCCAGAGCCACACGGACCTTGTTGGCCCAGGTGTCAAAGGACTCAGCCCGCACCTTCAGCTTGTGCAGCATGGCGGGCAGCTCATCCAGTGTGTAGCGGTACCTGCGGGCAGTGAAGATTTAAACATTGCCATGTACACCCATCCCTCAGTTCTGCAACGCCTTCCCAAATGCCATGCTGTGCAGGCCCAAGAGTGGTGGCCCACAATGCACTGAAGCTGCTGGCAGTGTAAGGGATCATGGGAAAAAAGCAGGGCAGGAGGGAGGCAAGAGCTCAGACACCAGGGTTTCCTGCTTGGTGGTAGGAGACAGGAAGGAGAAGTGTCACTGCCCAGACTCATAGGTTCTCTTTCCATGCCTGGCTGAGGCAGAGATGAGATCAAGGGCCCAGATGTCTGGATCCTCCTCCTCCTAGCTGTAGAGACTGGCACTCCACTGGCTGTGGTGAAGTGGGGCCAGGGGCCCAGGTGCCTGGGTGGGGGTACCCGAGGTACTAGCATAGGGGCTGGCAACATTTTCAGGCAGAGTACCAAAAACTTTGACTTGAAAGATGTTGACGTGCCAGGGGCGGATGGTGCGGGAGCTGTGAAGGGCCAAATCTTTGTTGTGGCAGCACATCCTAGGCCCCTTCCCCAAGGTGCATGTGCCAAGCAAAATGCCTTATGTTTCATACTCTGGCACGTATCTGGGGGACTGCCTATGTCTGTACTAGCAGCTGTATGCTGGGGGGAAGGGGGGGGCAGTGATGGACACCTGGGTCCTTTAAGAATGTACCAAAGGTATTGGCAGAGGGTGACCAGCAGCTGTTTTTGGGGGGGGGGGAGTGGGGATGCAGACACTTGGGTCCCAGGCTCCTGAAATACTGGCAGCTGCATGTGGGTGGGGGGGAAAGGGGCAGGAGGGGCCTGTATGCCTGGTTCTGCCTAAGGTACTATGGGCTGCATGTTTGGGAGCTGGATGCCTGGGTCCCAGGTACTGGAAGCTGTGTGCGTGTGTGGGGGGCCCAGACTCCTGGGTCCTGGAGATCAACAGCAAACAGGTAGAGCCCTTTTCTCCCCAGCACCACCTGGGGTGACAAGGAACAATGGTAATAAGCTGATGGAGAATAGGTTTAGGTTAGAGATCAGAAGGCAATATTTTACAGTTAGGTTGGCCAAAATCTGGAACCAACTTCCCAGGGAAGTAGTCCTCGCCCCTACCTTGGGCAAATTGGGGGGTCTTGTGACCCCAGCATTCATTCCTGCCTGTGGCAGGGGGTCAGGCTAGATGATCTGTTCAGGTCCCTCCTGACCCTAGCTACTATGAAACTATCTGAGGTACTGCAGCTGTGTGAGATGACATGGAGGCGGGGCTGGACACCTAGGTCCTGGCAGCTACGTGAGGGAAGCGTGGGGGGCCTGGACACTCGGATCCCAGTACCTGAGGTACTGGCGGCTGCGGGGGCACTTGCACAGGTCATCCATGTGGTAGAGGCAAACAAGGTGGGGTGGGCAGTCGTAGCAGGCCAGGGCCGACAGGAAGCAAGTCGTCTTGCACTTGTCACACTGGCGCTCATCATCCGGCAGCAGCTCAAAGGCCTCACGTTCTGCCTCCGTGATGCCCTGGGAGGGGTGGGGGTAAGCAAGAGGGGCCCAGTTCCTGCCCTGGCCTGTGACCGTTGATCCCCACTCTGGTCCACACCACGACCCCCCTCCCCCGCAGACCTAGATCTCAACCCCCCACCTCACACCAGCCTGACCCCCAATCCAGCCTGTGACCTCTGACCCAGCCTGTGACCCTCCCATCCCTTACCAGCACCAAGCCCAAACCACAACACCTAACCATACCCCAACCTAGCCCGTGACCCTGAGCACCCTCAGGTCTACACCCAAGTCTCTCTCTTCCCAGCTTGCGACCCCCGACCCAGGCCATGACCCCAGCTGCCCAGACCCAGACCATGTCTCCCTACCAGCACCCCCAAGCCCAGCCCACAAACTCTAACCACCCAACTCAACCTTGACGGCAATCCAGCCTGAAACCCATCCCAGCCTATGAGTTCATAACCTGGACCCCCCCGCAACCTCTCCAATACTCCTGTGCCCCAGGCTGTACCCACTCCTGCCCATCCAAGAAATCCCCTGTGCCCAGGCCATACCCCCAGCTTCTCCCAACATCCCCAATTCCTGCCCCTAGCTCCCCAGGTTCTCCCTCAAGCCTCAGCCACCTTCTCAAGCAATGCCTTGCGCAGCTTGCGCTCCTCCTGCACCAGGATGAACATCTCCTTGTGAACGGCGGCCGCCAGGTTGAGGTCCAGCTTCTCGGGACAGGCGGCCATCTTGCAGATGAGCTCCTCGTGTGAGAAGACGCAGTAGCGCCGCAGGCGCCGGTAGTGCTCAATGCACTGGCGCCCAGCTGGCAACTGCCAGGAGAGGACCCAGGCAGACTTAGTGCTGGGAGTGGGTGGGGGGCTATGGCTCCCTGAGCCAATGAGCCACAGCCAGGGAGATAACCCAGGTGTCCATGCTCCCAGGTCTCCTCCTTGTTTTTAAATCACCGGACCCCAAACCCCTTCCAGAACAGCAAGGAAACACAGGCATCCAGGTTCCCATCCGCCATCTCTGCTTTCACCCATCAGACCCCATTCTCCTCCCATAGCAGGGAGAGAACACAGGTGTCTGGGCTCCCAGGCCCACCATGTTCCAATCCACTCTCCTCTCAGAGCGGAGAGGAGATCCAGGCAACTGGCCTTCTAGCTCCCCCAGATGAGAGCCCAAGTGTTTTCTTTCCAACACCTAGGTCCCCAATCTCTTCCCTGAGCTGGGAGAGAATCAAGACATCTGGACTACACTCCCAAGCTTGAACTGATCTGACCCATGCAATAACAAGACAAAACCCAGGCATCCAGGCACCCAACCCCCATGATTTCCCAACCTCAGAGCCAGAAGAGAACCCAGCAATCCGGACTCACCCAGTCAGCAGTGCAGAAGTTGACCGCCTCTGCGAAATTGTAGCCCTGGTTGAAGCCGCTGTGATAGGCCCGGGGAAAGGTGATGACGAATTCACCTGCACACTGGTTGGTCCGTACCACCTACAAGGATAAGATGGAGCTGTGAGTGACAGGTGAAGGGCATCAGGGGAAGGAGCAGCTATGGGCCAGGGTGATGAGCTGGTGCAAGGGTGTGGGGCCTGGCAACAGGGGGCAGGCTCCCCAGCCAGTTGTGGTCAATGAGGGTTTTCAGGTTCATGACAGTCACCAGTTGGTAGAGCTGGTCAAAGAGTGGAACCTGTCAATGGGGGGCAAAAGCTGATGGTGGATGGGGCCTGGTGGCAAGGTGGGTGTGGGGGTGGAATCTTAGCAGCATGCTGTAAGCCATGAGAGTGACAGTTTAGGGGCAGGACTTGGTAGTAGGACATGGCAGCAGGGACAGGCTCACCAACACACCATGACCTGTAAGGGCCTGGCAATAGGGGAAGGCTTACCAGTGTGTTGTTACCCCATCAGGTTAACAGGTCAGGGGCAGGGCCTGATGCAGGGGGGGGGAGGGGAGGAAGACAAAGGTGATGGGTCAGGGGCAGGGCCTGGAAACAAGGGCAGGACCCGGGGGCGGGCTCACCGGCACACCATGGGCCATGAGGGTGTTGGGGTTCATGAGGGTGACGAGCTGGTGCAGCAGGTCAGGCTGGCTCTCGAAGAGCTCAGGTGTCAGCTTCTTCATCACCTCCTCTAGGTGCTCAGCTGCAAAGGATGGCACGCCATACCACGTCTTGGGTTCGCCCCTGTGAGCCAAGGGTGGGAAGGAGGGGTCAGCACATCCCAACACCCCCCTGCCCCCAGCAACCCCCAGAGCCCCACCCCCAATCATCTCTCAGGGCACCTCACTTCAGAGAGCGCCTCCTGCTTGGAGCTCCACCTCAGAAACCTCCCCAGCAATCCACCAGGCACTTCCCATCACAGCCCTGATGCCTCCCTTCCATCCCACCCCTTTCCTCCCCCCCAGCACGCACCAGTGGAGGTAGTTGATGGAGTAGCTCCAGTGGTCCTCGATATGCCAGCAAAATGCCGAGAAGACCATGCCTACGTAAAGCCAGGGCACCTTCATGCCTGAGATGTCAGCGTTGATGTGGCATAGCACCGACTGCTTCAGCACTGGCATCACATTCAGATTCCAGCCACTCTGCGCATACTCCTGCCCCATGGATAGACAGAAGGCAGTATACTCAGGCACCCCAGCCCAGAGCAGGCTGCATCGCCACTCACCCTGGGCAGTGTTACACTCTGCCAGGCCCCAGCTGCTCCACCTAAGCTAGCTACATCACAGCTCAAGTAGTGATATATTCAGCCAGCCACAGCCTAGAGCTGGCACAGCCCAAGAGGTGTTATACTCAGCTGTCCCCAAGCTAGAGCTGGCTACATCGTAGCCCAAGTGGCATTATATTCAGCTGTCCCCAGATGTTTCATCCCAGAGCTGGCTGCATTGTGGGCTGCCCCAGATGGTGTTATATTCAGCTATTCCTCAGCTGCTCTGCCCTTGACCTGCCTGCATTGTGGTCCCCCAGGAGCTCTACTTGTGTGGGGTTACATGTCCCCACACCCTCGCAACAAGGGCAGGGGTGGGTGATGGGGCAGAGACCTTTCTCCTCTAGCAGGCGTTATATTTAGCTAGCTCCCAGCTGCATCAGGGCCATCCCCCACCCATGAGCCCTGGCAGAGCGGGACCCCACCTCCTCCTCGGGAGAGAGCTTTCTCTTCCCATCACTAATGGGGAAACCGCTGCCGAACTCCTTGGAGTGGATATCAGCACCGTACTCCACTGTCACGTCCTCCTCAATGCTGTTCACCAGGCGCCAGAACTCCTTCTCCACCAGCTCTGTTGGCACCATCTGCATTGGGTGGGGAGAAACCACTCAGCACCAGGGACAGGCCTGCTCCTCACTCACCAGGGAGAGAACCCAGGCATCTAGGCTTCCTGCTTTCACCCCGCAACCCAACCCACTCCTGAAGGTGGGAAAGGAACCCCAGATTTGGATTCCTTGCCTCCCCATGACGTTGAATCCTATGCTCTCTTCCTGAGCAGAGATAGCACCCAGGCGTTCTGGCTGCCCAACATCTCTTGCTTGCACCCTCTGGAGCTCAGAAAGAACCCAAGTGTCCTTGTAGCCAAGCCAGCCTTGCTCTTACTCACCAGACCCCATTCCCTTCCCACAGCTCGAAAATAACTCATGTATCTGGGTTGCCCACCAGCCCTGTGTTCACTCACTAGACCCCAGAACCCTCCCAAGCTGGACTGGAACCCAGGTGTCCAGGCTACCCTGCCTAAGCCCAGGACTCTGCTACACCCTGGGGCTGGAACCCCACTTTTCAGGTGCCCCCACTAAATCCCAAAGCCAGAACTCTGGCATCCAGGTGGCACTCACATGGACGGGCATGTTGAAGTAGTCAGCCTTGAAGGCATCGGCCATCTCGCCAAAGCTCTGCAGTGTATACTCCCGTGTGGCCTGCTCAAAGCCAAAGGCCTCGGGGGGGCGCTTGCACTCCTATAGGGAGGTGGGGGTCAGCATGGGGAGGCCCCCTTGTGACACCCCCAGAACCCCTTAGCCCCAACCAGCCCTCCAGATTTAGGCAGCCCAGTATTCCGCAGTGACCCCCTGCCAGGGCCTCACCGCCATGACGCATTTGGGGCAGCGCCAGATGCCCTTGGGAATCTCAGGCAGGGGTGGCAGGAGGCAGAAGATGTGGTAATTGTCATCGCAGGCATCGCACAGCAGCAGCTTGTCGTCTTCATCCCCCCGCGAGCAGATGCGACACACATACGATTCGATCTGCAGCACCGCAGGAGGGAGGGAGGGTGCATGTCAATGGACCTAGGCATGCCCCACTGTGCCAGACCCCCAGTCCCCTGCCAGAGCAGGGAAAGAACCCAGGTGTCCCAGCTCCCACCTTCCTCCAACTCCAACCCACCAGACCCCCAAACCCCTCCCCAAGTGGAGACAGAACCTAGGCATTTGAGCTCCCAACCCACCCTACTCAAACCCACCAGACCTTACTTCTTGAGCAGGATGAGGAACTTAGGCCTCTGAGATGCCCTGCCCCTATCTTGGTCCAGCCCCCCCCCCACTGATTGATCTAGCTGGCTCAAGGGGGGGCATGGTGGAGGGGAAGATGAAAACAGGGACCTTTCCCTTCCAGGAAGCCCTAGTCCCACGGCTCTTTCCATGCATTTTGCTGCACCCAGCTCTGGGAGCTGCTGGGGAACATCGGAGCCCTCTTGGGGCACCATTACATTCAGCCATTCCCCAGTGGTAACATCTCAGAGCTGGGCACATTGAAGCTCTCCCCAGCGCCGTTACACTTGGCCAGTCCCCAGCAGCTCCACCCAAGAGTGAGGCACACTGGGGTCCTCTCCAGGCACTGTTACACTCAGCTGGTCCCCAGCGGCTCCACCCCAAAAGGCAGGCGCATCAAGGCTCTCCCTGGGTGCCGTTGTACTCAGCTGTTCCCCACCGATTCCAGCCCAGAGCTGGCTGCATTCTAGTCATAGGTGAGCAGGGACCACACGGAAGGGTCCAAGGCCACTTACGAACTGGTTGCTGCTGTGGTTGCGCCGCAAACGCATGGTCATCTTGGTGCAGGGCTCAGGGCTGTGCCGCAGCTCCTCCTTGGGATCCAGGAAGGTGCGTGGGGAGCCTGGCTCTGGCTTAGGCTCCACCCCTGGTGGCTCATCCTTCACTACAACTGTTGGAGGGCATTCAGGGCCCTCCTTGTCTGGGAGGGAATGGGAAAGAAAGGCATCAGCTCTCCCTGCTATCACCCACTAGAACCTAGTGCCCTCCAGAACCAGGATGGAACCCATGTGTCCAAGCTGCCTACCCTAATCTTTCTCTTGAGCTGGGATGAAACCTAAGCATCGAGGCTGCCCACCTTGCTTTCAACCTCATCCCCTATGCCTCAGTCTATCTGCTCCTAGGAGAGAACCCAGGCATTCAGGCTCCCTACCCACACCCTCTGCTCCACTCTCGCCTCAATCACCAGACTCCAGGCCCCACCAAGCAGAAAAAGAACCCAGGTGTTCAGGTAGCCATCTGGCTCTGATCTCACCCCCTAAGTTCCTGTCAGTCCACTTTCACGCTGGGACAGAACCCAGACACCTGGACTACCCAGCCCTCACCCACCATAGCCTAGTTCCCTCCAAAGCTGGAAAAGAATCCAGGTGTCTAGGTCACCCACCCTACTCTAAACTTCATCAGTCCCCTCCCACTTTGGGACAGAACCCAGATACTCAGCCCTCACCTACTAGAGCCCAGCACCTCTCAAGCTGGGAGGAAACCCAGGTGTCCAGGATGCCCCCCTACCTCACCTTTCTTGCGTAGGGTTTTGTCCTTGGCCACCAGCCCTAGGCCCAACATCTTGGGGCCAGCCCCATAGATCTGCAGCTTCTTCAGCTCAGGGTTCTTCTCAATGTCCTCCTCAGTGGGCTCCGGCTGTATGGGAAGGGCACAGGGGGGGTCAGCACTGGAGGAAGGGAGGGGGCATTCTACCCTGGTAGACCTCTCCCCTGACGTCTGCCCCACAGAGACCTCCCCACAGCAAACACCAGCAGGGTGGGAGGGGGGAAGCAGGAAGGAGCCAGAAAGAATGAGACAAGGCAAGTGAAGGGTTAAAAAAGGCCCATCCCATAATGTCACAGTGAGGCATGCTGGGAGACAGGCCAGGGTGCCAATCCACAATGCTTTTGGCTGCACTGCAGCAATGTACCCTGGGACAGAGGCTCTCTCCTGCCCTTTAGTGTGTTTCAACCGTATCCCACAATGCCCTGCACCACAGCAATGCATGCTGGGAGAAAATTATTCCACTTAGGTCTCAGGCAAGGAGTTCCTATGTCCTATCCCATAATGCCCCATGCCACAGCAGAGCATGAGGGACAATGACTTCCACTGAGAAACTCCCTGCCTGAGGCTCATGACCTATCCCACAATGCCCTGCCTCAAAGTAGAACACGCTGGGAAATAGGGCTGTGCAGAGCTTCTGTCCCTGATTCGATAGCAATTCGGCCCGATTTGGTGGCTGAATCTCCGAATTGAATCAGGAGACCCTTTAATCTCTCTGAATTGAATCAGAGGGTTCCAATTCGATTCGGACAGACACACTTTAAATGTTTTTTCTACATACCTCAAGGTACCAGGCAGCTCATGAATGCCAAGATGCTGGGGCGGATGAAGCGTCCCACAGGAGCATTGGGGGCTCCCTGGTACGCTCAGCAGCAGACCCGGAAGTGGACCAGAAGTACTTCTGGTCTACTTCCGGGTCTGCCGGGGAACACGTTGGGGGGGCCCCCCTGCAGCTCTCTGGCTTGGTAACTGGTGCCTCCTGGGTCTAGGGGAGGGCACCCAGGGTCTCCCTGCAGCCGATTGCTGAGGCAGGGGGGATGCAGGGAGGCTCCCCTGTGCACACCCCCATGGACCCAGAAGTGAACTAGAAGTACTTTCGGTCCACTTCTGGGTTCGCCATTGAGCACATGGTGGGGGCTGTCCCCATGCTCCTGTAGGATGTTCCATCCGCCCCACCATCGCAGCGTTCACGAGCCACGCCTGGTACCTCGACATATGTAGAAAAAACATTTAAAGCTGTGTCTATGGCCAAATCGCTGATTCTCTGAATCAGCATCAAATCTTCAGACTCGGATTTGGCCGAATCAAATCTGGGTCAGTGATCCAAATCAACTAATTGAATCCGAATCGAATACGGCCCATTTCACAAATCCCTACTGGGAAATGACTACCCCACACCCATGCCCTCCTTTGCCTGGCCTCCAGCCTCAGCCTACCCCACAATGCCCAGCACAGGAGTAGGGCATGCTGGGAAGGAAACATGTTCTACCCCGAACCTGGACTGCATCTCATCCTATGATGCACTGCATGCAAGCAATACATGTTGGGAGGTCGTTACCCCAGATGCACTGGGCAGCAGCAGCAAATGCTGGGAGAAGACAGCATGGACAGAGTGAGTAACAGAGTGAGAGGGAGAAGGGGGGGGGGCGGGGGGGCCCTACCCATGACAGGGGGCCATGCTCAGGCAGTGGGGCCACAGCGCTGGCCAAGCTGGGGCAGGCCTCCAAGTCCTGCAGCAGGGTGACAAAATGGGGATAGGGCAGGGGTCAGCCATCAGCTGGGGAGGAGGGCTTGGAGTTGGGGGGGTGGCACCCCCTGATTTCTCCCACTTTCAGAACAGAACACTTAGGTTCTGTTCACAGCTTGCTGC